CCCCAGCCAGCATGGCTGGGGAATTCTGGGAGCTGAAGTCCACACATCTTAAAGTTGCCAAAGTTGAGTAACACTGTTCTAGGGTTGGACCAGGAAATTTAATCTGCTACAGCAAATACTGTCCAACTGATACATGATTGCACGCCATGGTAACACTGGTGTTTCTGTTTTATAACCCTTTGAATATGGTTTAGCTGGTAATTATTATTTTTTAATTGGGGTACATGATCAGTTCTGCAAAATTATTTATGGGATTCTGTTTTGGGTTTTTTTGTTTTGTTTTTGCTTTGTCCCTTAGAGGCCACTCATTATGTATTGGATTTATGTCCCCTTTTGTTTGGTACAACTCAAAGCAGTATTCATTATGCACCTCCTATTTTCCCCACAAGTCTGTGAAGTGGGTTGGGCTGAGAGAGAATGACCGGCCCAGAATCATCCAGCCAGCTTCTGTGCCTAAGGAGGACAATTCATGGTTTCCAAGTTCTAGTCCACCCCCTTAACCACCATGCCAAATTGGTCTTCTAATAGAACAGCACAGAGAAAACAACTTTTCTTTGTTTCTTTATACAAACTGTATGTTGTATTTTTGGAAAGGAGCTGATGGTACAGAATATACTTCAATGTGAGGCAACAGATTTGTACCTGTTGGAGTGTTTAGTATGTTTGTTTCAACTGATTCCCAACGTGTTTATTTGTAAATAGAAATATTTTTTAAAATACAGTAAGCTTCTAGTGCTCCCTCCTTCTGAAGGAAATCCAACCAAGACAAATTGTTCATGAGTTTCTTGTAGCTCAGGAAAATGAGAAAGATGTAAAAATAATAATTGGTATGCCTATGTAAAGAAAAATGGTTAATCTGTCCAACACATTCTCACCTCTTATTCAACTTGTGTTCCACCTGCTAGCCTTTCTTTCTTACCAATCATTCTTTGGCTACATCTAGAATTGGTCTAGTGCCAATAGGAGTAGCTATAATTGGACACTAAATGAATATTAGTGCACAAATTAGATCTTCTGTCACATCAAACCAACTTTCTCTTTCTTTTAGACGTGTTGAACAAAATCACCAAATGTAGTGCATGCTTTTTGTTCATTGACATTATGTTCTATAAAACACAGAATTCCCAATTTTTTAACATCTCAGCAAACCTCAGATCACCACAGTCTCTGCTGATGATAAATGTTTTCCATGGCAACCAGCAATTCATGCCCTGAACAATTAAAAGAAAGAAAATAATAATCTTGTTGCTGTTTTTAGCTGGATTTAGAAAGTGGAAATGAGTATGTTGGATGCTGGCACTGTGGAGAAGTTCTTTAAAAACTCTGATTTCTAAGGGAGCAATTTGGAACTTAAAATGAAAGTGTAATCCTTGGCTGCAAATAAGGTCAAAACAGGAATTCTAGTCCAATGAGACAGAACAAACGGGAGCCAGCCTAACGTTGGAATTTGCTTTGGAGAGCAAGTACATAAGCAGATTCCTGAGATCATTCAAATAGTCTGTCAAAACAACTCTTGGAAGTGGTTATAATTCAGATATTTTAAGTGCAGTTCAAAGGTGAGAAGAGCAGGGGGGGGGAAAGCATCTTCTCCAAACGTTCTTGCCAGCTCAGCTTCTCCTCTTCTGCAAAATTAATAGGGTGAGCATGCTTTCCAAAAAGGCCCAGCTATATCCTGAAGTCTGCAGTTGGAGATATTTCCCTAGCCAGCTGTTCTTGTTAGGAGGGTCTTCTACATTTTTAAGCAGACTCCCACTACCATCTTCTTTTTTTTTTTCATTTTTCAACAATTAGGGGCCCATTCATGTTTTTCTCCCTTCACCAGTAGAGGAGAACTATTTCATACTAATGATCTGGACAGGAAACAATGCAAAGAAGTTTCTCAGAACTCTGATTAGTAAAATTTATTTGAAGGAAGGTTAAGGTTGCAACCCAAGAATTCCAGTGAGTATTTTACTTTGAAATGAGGTAGCAATATAGAGGCAATTTGCAGTGGCAAAACCTTCGTCCATTTTCTCCCAGTCTTCTGATGGAAAGAGTTGAAAGCCTGCTACCTTTGTAAAGGCAGGGCTAACTGCCTCTGGTCATTGCTCTGGTGAATGCTAGGGGAAAGCTTCTGTCAATGTAAGAGCCCATTTGCACAGGTTTGGGGGAGGGGAGCTAGCAATCTTCCCCCTCATGTCATAAATGCCTATGCAATAAATCATGACGAACACAAATGCAATTACAATTCCTATTTCTAAAAGGAACTTTAACTCTTTAAGAAAATCCATTTTTAAAAAATCTACTGATGGGCCCTATCCTGCTGACGAAGAACTCACAGAAGAGACTTTTGGGAAGTGCAGGGTCTGCAGTTCAGAGACAATGGCCTTCTGCTTGTGGAATATTTGAACATAAGCTTATTATTTCTGGAGCTCTAAAACAAGAAGATTCTGTATTTCGGTCAAGGCATGGCCTAGAAGAGAAAGTGGTTGGAAAGAAAAGGTAAAGAGGGAGATTAGTTGGACAAGTGCCATCAAGCAGGGCTGAATTTTTGATAGGAATCTTAAGTTCTCAAACAGAGGAACCAATCCAGATGTGGAGTTTCTGGAAGGAAAGAGCAATGTCAGAGTTGTTCTATGAAGGAGCCACACTGCAGTGATAGAGTACACGTCATCCCTAAATTAATCATAAATATCTCCTTTAAAAGGGGATTTGCTGGTAGTTTAACCTGAGATTTTTCCAGTCACAGGATGGCATTGTGTATGGGTCATCCAATAATTAGAATATGTAGCAGGAATGTGAAACATGTCTAACCAGTACACTGTGGCTGAGTTTATGAGCTAGTCCCAGTTAATATAGAATACAGCATATTTCAGATTTATGAAGAGCAGAATTAAAAGCCACATTGATGAATAAGCCATCTGAGCCTATCCTGTTCCATTTTGGAGTTTTCTCAAAATCCTACATCTGCAACAAAGGAACTCTTTTGATTTCCCCACATCAATACAATTCCTATCATTCTCGGCCAACAATGGTCATGCTGTTTAGAGATGATGGGGACTGTATATAGCCCATCCGGGGAATGCCAGTGTATGGAAGGGTGATTTAATGCTACAGTATAGAATGCCTGCTTATTATAGGATTCTGTAAGAAATTTTGCAGAGAGAGAGAGAAGTGCAGCAGGTGACTCAAACCCACCAGTCCAAAATATGGATTGGGGGGAGGGTACCATTAGTTTCAGCAGTATGTTTCATGTACGTGGAGAGATGAACTCCTTTCATCATCAAGGAACTAAGATATGCATCATCTCTGGTGAACATTAACAGATTGTAGCCTGGCTTAACTGGAAAGCAACAGCCTGTCTGGGGCCCTGCTGCTCCCTACAGCCATACCATAAATTCCTGCTGCTGGGCCTGCATTTCTGGCTCTTCATTGGGCAGACTGGCTGAACCATACCCTTTGTGATGGAAACTGGAAAATAACTACAAAAAATTCAAGTCTGAAAGAGTTCAAGCATCATGAGAACGATTTCAGAATGGATACAGAAATTGTTGTTTACCGGCATTTGGTAAGATCTCAGCCTGATTCGCAAGATAATATACACATATACAGCTGTACATTTAAATGTGATTCACATATACGGCTGTTTCAGATTGTTCTTTGCATCTATCTTATAATCCATGCCTGAGTCCTGAGATGAGATGCAAGTATTTTTCCCTTTAACTGGTACATCATGATGTAGAAAACAAAGGAATGAGTGGTATAAAATTGTATTAAAATTACTGCTTTACTATGGTGGCAATTTACTAAATATTAGTAATGGTCATATAAAGTAACTTCACCTGTTCTTCCTCTAGGCCACATCACGTTTGCTTTATTCCTTACCCAGTTGTCACCCTTGCAGAAATTGTCCCTGGTCTCTCTCTAGGACAGTGTTGTCCAAACCTGGCCACTTTAAGATGCATGGCTGGCTGGGGAATTCTGGGAGTT